CTCTTGTGTTTGAGACATTATACTAAAATTTCTCCATGAAGAAGGTAGTTTCACAATAATGCATGCAGCCACAAAATTGTTGAGTAAAACACACTTGGGGAGTTTGAGTTCCTTCTATTAAAAAATTATAAGCAATATGCTCCCGATAAGTGTCCTGACTCTATAGGCAATGCTCCGAATAAGTCTTATGTTTTCTGGAAAAAGGTAGTTTTGCAATAATACACGCGGCCACAAATTTATTAGGTAAGACACACTTGAGGAGTTTGGAGTTTGAGTTCCCTCAACTGTCTCTTGTGTTAGAGTGCACAACCGAAGCTGATTTGTTAGGTAAGACACAATTGAGAAGTACTAGTTTTCTTAACTGTCTCTTGTGTTTGAGTGCAGTACCGAAACTTTCCATGAAAAAGATAAGTTTCGCAATAATGCAAGCAGCCACAAATTTGTCAAGTGAATTCAAGTTCCCTTAACTGTCTCTTGTATTTTAGTGTAGTACTGAAACTTTTTCATGAAAAAGGTACTTTCGCAATAATGCAAGCAGCTAAATTTATCAAGTAAGATACACTTGAGGAGTCCGAGTTCATTCTGTTAAAAATCTATAGGCATTTGCTTCGGATAACCATGCAACCACAAATTTGTTGGGTAAGACATACTTGATGATGCGGTGGGGAGCGATGCAGTGGGACCGGCGAGCGAGATGTGGGACGGCGCGGATGCGGGATGCATTGTCGATCGAACGGTTTTGGAAAAACTAATGACGTGGGAAGCACCAAGAAGCAGAGAATTTCTGGTAGTGGGGATGATTTGTATATGTATATATGATTTGAGTTCCTTCTATTAGAAATCTGTGGGCAATGCTTCAGACTTCGCACACCGAATTATTCTTTCTAGTTTTCTCCGTTACGCATGTCTCAAGTGACTAGCTAGGAGATCACTCTTTTTTTAAGGAGATCATTCTTTCCTAGGATGGACAAGGTGATTCTAAGCATCTCATACATATGTCTTCCATAAGATAGACTTGTGTGTTTTTCCAAAAAATTAATCTCCAAATAAACCTTATCTCATCTATTAATTCGAACGGATATAACGACCAAGCGTGTACTACTGAAAACTTGCTCGACTACTGGCCCCAGAAAATTGACGTCCTCGAGTAACCAACATTGTAGAGGTCAAACTGCATGCGACAATATGGATCCACGAAATTGACAGAGTTGGAGGCGGCAGAAACAACAGACGAAAATCCAACAACATGGACCAATTCCACAGATCGAGAGATATTCAGATGGAGTATATACCTCTCAGTCTCAGAGACGGAGATGTCAAGCTGTTCCAGTCAAGTCTGCACCTCATCATCTATATATTCATCTGACGTCTGGTTCAGTCAGGGCCGGGATTCATCAGCCGAAGACTTGAACAAGCAGGAGTAGCTTCTGCTCATCCATCACGGTCAATCTCCAACAGCAGCATTTGCAGTCAGAAATCACTCGCTATCATATACTCCTATATACGTACAGCATTTGGGCAAATCCTATGACGTACATTTTATGGATTCAGAAGTACAGATAGTCAAATACATGTAGGCGATTGCACTTCAAAGTTGGGTGTTGGAAACTGACGAAAGCATCCATCAATTATCCTCTCAAGTCTCGAGTCAAGATAAAACCACACGATGATTCATTTGATTGGCTTCCAAGTTTTGGGTTATTAAGAAATTAAAAGGAATCAGTTTTACTCGCTCAAACTATTTCATCTCTGAGAAGACTTCATCTTATGTTGCTCCTTTAACTATACTAAAATCTGATGCGGCAAATACCCCTCATGTGTGCGTCGTCGCGGTCAATTTCTCCAACAGCATATAAGCCCCTTCTATCTCTCTCTCAAAGAATTAATTCAAGGCTGGCTTCTCTGACTGAATTAATCAAATGCTCTCAATTCACAAATTAACTCGTATATATATATGATCCATCTGATTTATTTGGCTTCAGGAGTTTGGATTACTGCACCCAGTAGTTCTGTATGTTCCTCACTTAAATGCCCCTGATCTGTCCAAACAACCGGTCTTTTTGGCCCGGAATAAGTCCATTTTGCCTCCCTCATCTCTTGCGCTTCCGTGAATAACATCTCTCAACCGGAAAACCGGGTATAACGCCTCCTTCATCTCTGAAAACTAGAGCAAATCACCTCCCTCGGTGGTTTTGCTGGCGGTTTCGTCCGACGTGGCGTTGTTAACCCAGTTGACAAGCTGACTCAGCGTGGTGGGACCCACATGTTAGTGTGTAGCTCTCTCTCTCCCTTATCTCTCCCTCCCCTGGCCTTTCCCTTCACCCCGGTGCAGTTCGTCGACGTGGGTCGGGCACAAGGCGGCTGGTGGCGCGTTGCGACGGAGAGAGGTAGCCGTGCGGCGGCGGTGATGCGGGAGAGTGCACGCGGCGGGTGGCGCGGCGATCGGCTACGGACGACCGTGCGCAGTGGGCCAACCTTGCGCAGGCACGGTGGTTGGCGAGGCCGGGCAACCACTAACAAAGGCCGGGGGAGAGAGAGAGAGATAAGGGAGAGAGAGAGGTACACACTCACATGTGGGTCCCACCACGCTGAGTCAGCTTGTCAACGGGTCAACAACGCCACGTCGGACAAAACCGCCAGCAAAACCACTGAGGGAAATGATTTGCTCTAGTTTTCAGAGATGAAGGAGGCGTTATACCCTGTCTTTCGGTTGAGGGATGTTATTCACACAAGCGCAAGAGATGAGGGAGGCAAAATGGACCTATTCCTTCTGGCCCAACCCATGAATTACATAACAGGCCGGCCCATTCAGAAATCGATTTGCTTTTCCTTATACTTCACGGTTTAACTTCTGGCCCAAAAAAATTGACTAAGAAAGGTTTTATAAAAAAAAAGCAATTCTACGGTATTTGAGAAGATACCATAAGGTAAAAAAACTTAGTGTAAAATTTGGTATCTCAACTTAGACATCAAGAAGTACCAAATTTACTATAGAAAAGGTGGTACCTCCTCAAGAACCGTGAAATTGCTTAAAAAAATTGTTTATCAATTTAAAAAGTGTGAGCCGCAATAATAGTAGCACTTTAGAATAAAGCGACCTACACGATATGATCATATGAGTGCTCTAGGTTCATCAGTACTTCAGCGTGCGATGTGGAAGTGAATGAAAATCAATGAAAAGTTGTTGATGGGTCATGCAATTGTAGGTTGGCATGCCGAGCCCATTCGTCACGTCAAGAATCACCTACCAAACAGTGTCATGTTTTGATTAAGAAAAAAATTAAGTCACTCATTTGTTGAGTGATCTGATCTGTCTTGTTGGCATGATGACATGACATTCTTAATAGCACGTAAGCCTGATCTTGCACGTTGGCCTTCTGTAACCTCAGACTTGATAACAGTCCTCCAATTAATGGAGTCATAAAGGAATCAAGTTAGAAACTAGTACAGTATTACTTAACATTTGTAAAGCTTCATGATTAAATGAAATGAGATATAGTCACCCTTAGCTTGTTCCACAACTTTCACTACAATAGCTTGGCCCTGCTTATATACAGACTACTCTGAATACTCAAATCTATTTTCCTTTTGACTCCAAGTCATTGATTGAGTTGGATTTATTACTAAGTCTCCCCAGCACATGCATGCCATTTGTTTGGCACTGTTACACACACCTTTCTTGTCACACACCCTAGGAACTAGTTTTGCCCAAAACATTGGATCAATAATTATCACTACTCTCTTTTTTCTTCTTCTAATAGACGCCATTGAGTTTTGACATGATGTTTAACCATTCGTTCTATTAAAAAAAAATATATAAATGTTATATTTATTTTATTGTGACATGTTTTATTATTAAATAAACTTTAAGAATGACTTATACTTGCATATTTTCATGAATTTTATAAATAATGTGAAAGATCAAAAGTTACTTTAAAAGTCAACAACATCATCTTTTTTATAAAACAAATGGAGGTAGTATATTTTTAGTCTTATTGGTGCATACAATGCTAGGGTCTTCGATCACTTGGGTAAAATCATAATTGAGGTTGTAAGGGAATCTGTTTGTTGGCTTTAATCCATCCAACTGAGAAATGTTCTCGCCTACTTGACTAAATCACGTGGAGTATCTACTATAGGGTTTATGAAATTTGAACGGATCGAACTGGGTCAAATTGATGATAAACGCTCAAAATTCAAGGTAATGACTCAAATTTTATCAAATTATGTTGAACTCAACCTAGTTGTACCAATTTGAGCTGTCTTGCATAGGTTGATAACCGCGATATATGTTTGAGTGCTTATCTTATCGTCGTGTTTGCGAGCCTTTATCTATTTGTCGTTGTGTTTGCTCTCCAAGTCTAAAAGACTTCCATGTTAATAGAGAGAGAAAAAAAAATCCATGTTATTGTTGATCATGTGCATTTGGTTGTTCTAGATTATTATATAGTGTAAATTGACAATTCTCTACCATTATAAAAATTGAAGATATTTTTGCTGGTACTTTGGTACGTCATCTGTGTATGAGTCGGTTTTTAAATCCATTCGCTTTTGGAAATATAGATCCATATTTAAGTCGGGTTTTAAGTTCGTTCATTTTTGGAATACAAAATGAGTCGTATAAGAAATATCTTTAAAAACTCGCATGCTAATTTGAGATGATCGGACTCCTAATTGCAGCTCATGATTTTCTAGAAAAATATATATCAAAGCAAATTCCCATATTGAATTTCACCTTCACTAAACCGTATAACAATAATAAGATTAAAATAACATTCACCCGTTGCAATGCACGGGCATTTTCTAGTGTATATATATACATGTACAAAGTTGTTTTGAAATAATAGGAATAGAAGAAGAATTGTATATCAAATACACTTTAATCGATCTAGCTCCTAGCAGTTTGTGCAGGAAATTTGGCTATTTATTTTATACCAATGCCAAACCATATAAGTAATTTGCATTCAAGCTATACTAATATGTAAAACTGAAAGCCTCTCTTCTTCAAAGCTTGAGGATATATTGGGCACACAGCCGCTTGACAAGATACAATTAATAAAATCTACATATATACAAACTGAAAGCAATCTAGTTGATTGTTTTTTTATTCTAATTTTCTCTCGCTCATCATACCGCCAATATACGCACTGATATATTTATATTTATATTTATATGTCACTAACATACACGGCAACAGTGACAATTTAACATCAACAAAAAAACACAACAATTAACAAAACGAACACTACTAATTAACACAAAAAAAAAATCTCCATTTCACTTGTGTCATGAATCTTTTGCAACCACATCGTCGTCACCATCTAGCTTCCATCCCAAGATCTCGCCATTCTTGATCCTCCTCATCCTCGCCATGATCTCGTCGAAGGTGATGTCGAAGGCGTCCCTCATGTCGCCCTCGAATCTCACCCTAGGGTCCTTGTACACGAACCTAGGGATCATCCTGATCACCTCCTCTCTCATGGCGGCCACCTCGTCGTCGCTGAACCTCCTCAACACCTCCTCGATGCGCACCCGGCCTTCGACGACATCATCGGGGTCGATGACTACGGAGTATCGCCGGCGATCAACGGTGGCGTTGTCGTTGTCGGCGTCGGCGTCGCGCTCGTGCCATTGGTACTGCTTCTTGAACGTGGAGGCCTCGTGGAAGAACACCGGGATGCAGCCGGCGAGGACGGTGTCGATGGAGGAGCGGCGCATGAAGGAGTCGCCGGGAGGCTGGAGGCAGAAGCGGGCGGAGGCGAAGAGCGCGACGAGGCGGCGCGGCGAGCGGCAGGTGATGCTGCCCTCGAGGCCGTGGCTGCAGTCGAGCATGCCGCACCGCCCCGGCGGCGAGGCGGTGCACTCGTCGATGATGTGGTCGCGGATGGCGAGCGTGCCGTTGGCGCGGCGCGCGCCGGCGAACGCGAACAGCCATGGGCGGCGCGCGGCGCGCGCCGTGGCCTGCCACGCCGACACCTCGCGCGCCGACGACGGGTGGAAGTAGCTCGGGTACGGCACGGCGAAGTCGCGGCGCTCCCAGATGTTGGACTCGTAGGTGAGCACCGTCATGTTGCCGGACTCCGGCCGGGAGAGGAAGCCGTTGCCGCAGCCGAGGGAGTCGCCGGCGCCGCCCCGCCGGAACATCCACGTGGTGCGCGCGGCGACCATGAAGTGGTCGCGCCCGCCGAGCGCCGCCCACGACGGCTGCGACGTCAGCCACCGGAGGAACTCCCTGGGCGGCTCGTTCCTCTCCGTGGCGCTCGACCCGCACTTGTGCCGGTTCAGCTCCAGCGCCGGGTAGAACGCCACGTACACCGCCGTCGCCGCCGCCATGTCGCTGGTGAGGCACTCGTACCGCCGCATCCGATTGTGGAAGATCACCTCCAGCGCGTACTGGTCCGTGTTATACCTGCATCCATGGAATCCAAGATGATCACCAACCGGCGACGGCGACGGCGACGGCGAGGCGACTGACACGACGCGTTCCTTACCATCCGGTGTTGGGAATGATGTCGCCGTCGACGGTGGCGTTGCCGGCGGCGGCGGGAGGGATGACGGGGCCGAGGCCGGAGTTGGACATGACGACACAGACATGGTACGGGTCGTCGAACACCTTCGGCCCCTCGACGCACTCGGTGAGCATCTGAAACCGCCGTGGCACCTCCAGCACATACACATACCGCCCATCGCACGACGCCTCCGCCGCAGCCTTCGCCGGCGACGACGAGCGCCTCCTCACGATGCCGCCATCGTCGTCGCCGGCAACATCGGGCCGAGGAGGGAGGAATCTGGCGTTGAGCGCCAGCGGGAGGACGACGCGGCGCGACAGCAGGTAGGAGGGGTAGGGGAAGAGCGAGAGGTGGAAGACCTGGAAATGGAGGAGGCAGGAGAGCAGCCATGAGCCGACGATGAGGAGCCCATAGAGGACATACTTGGGGTAGTTGGCCTCCATGGGGGCGGCGCAACTACTAGAAAAACAGATTTTCGCTGCGGCCAAAATGTCTCTCTCTACGCCACGACGGCAGCGGCTAGAGCTTAGAACAAGCTATAGCTAGAGGAGAGCATCCATGGGGGTGGAGGGTTTAGTAGGGGAGAAGGGTGATGGTGGAATCAAAGAATCCATCCATTAATTGGGTGAGAAGGTTAAGAAGGAGAGGGGAGACCAATTGCTAGGGGTTTGAGTTAAATTAGTTGTTATTTTATGTGATCATTGACCACAAGTGTACGTACGGTATCAGCTGGGTTAAATTTATTAATTTTTTTAGTTGTTAATTAAAAAAATGTAATTAACTTAAGCTAATTAACCTAGCTGTGTCAGCATTTGTAGCTACTGATCAGTTAAGTATGGGGTAGTCGTATCTTCGGGCACTGTACGTTCTGCACAAACGCATTGTCTATGTTGCGTCTGATGTAAGTTGCAGCGCGGTAAAAAATAATTGTGCATCCAAAGTCTAACCCTGCTAGGGTTAATTCATTGATCCTGCAGGTTTAATTTGTTATCAGATTTTTTTTTTACATGAAGTTTTAAAATCAACAGTTGAGGAGTAGTGTGTATATGTGGTTAATTGTTTATATATATGTTGAATGTATATATGGTTGTGCGTGTGTGATCTATATATGACCACTCGTGTGAGGCATGTTGATTAAGTCAGCACTTGATCTAATTAAGATCAGTACGTTGATAGTATGAACAGTAGTACGTCATTATGATATATCTCAGTTTGTAATCAGTATAGGTATCAATGTGTGCGAGAGATGTTTAGTTGCTGCAGGTATATAGTGGTCTTTCACACATATAAAATCAGCTGGGAGATGCAATAATATAATTGATTTAAATTTGCCAACTTGGAATTTTGGAAAACTTTTTTTTTTTTGCGGGGAAAACTTAACGTCGCAACTTGCAACAATGTATAGATTACGTGTATAAGAAATATATGACAGTACCCTGATTTGAACAAAAGATATATCTCACAAAACATTAATTATGGCATGCATGCATGCATGTATATATAAACCTCTCTTATATTTTAGCTGCATTTTATTTTGCACTCCCTTTTTTTCTTCTTTCAATTACACAACTAGCTAATTGCTCTGCCTGCGTGCCTGGAGATTCAGCGAACCTTAATTTTCCTTGTGAATATCGATCACACACCATTAAAAGTTCTTGGAACTGCGAAGATCAGATCACACGGTGAGCTGCTAAATCTAAAGCAAAACTGTTCCTTCAGGTGCACTTCTGATCACTTAGAACAGTGTGCTTATTGTCTGTGCCCAATTCAGTCACAGAGAAAAAAAATTGATGGTTTCGTTGGATCCAAAAACACAAAGTAGTATACACACACACCTCTTCAAGAAACTATATTTTTTTCTTGTTTGTGCTGCAGCTTGACAGTATTTTTAGTCCATGGTGTCGCAATTACTTTTGCTTTAGCATTCCTAATCATTATTCAATAGGCCATCCCTGTAATTGACTTGAGTTGTCAATAAGATTTGCTCATTGGGATTCCAAGTAGTCGTCTAGAGGGTTGGTGTTCAGATTCCAGTGAGCATTAAGGTGCAGATTAGAATAATCACCAGAGTTTCCAATCTCCATGAGTTCTCTCTCTAGCTAGATCATGATCGAGGCCGTGATTATTTTGTAACGGGTTCCACGGGCACAAGATTCAACTTTGCATCATGTGATTTTTGTTAATTTGATCAAAGGCAGCATTGACGGATTCTTGATCCTTCTGACTTGCATTGCCAGCTACCTGTACCTAGTAGCTGGGACCTGGATATAAGAGCATCATGAATGCGCTTATCAGTTATCAACATCTATCATTTTGTCAAATAATTAAAAGAGATCAGATTCTTATTTGTAATTTTAAAATGGGTTGAAGAGGGCTAATTCTCATGAATTTTGGATGGTATAAGAGCGCCGATGATCTGGCTTTGCCTGACAGCTAAAATGTTATACTAGTTTTTGCCAAGGGGATTCGATCCGTACACACAGCCACTGATCATTGAAGAATGAACAAAAGGAAGGAATGGAAGAGATATATTTTATTTTTTTTTTGAAGAATTTGACCACCTTTCTCAATAAATAAATAACAACATACATATTGGATAAACTGTTTATCTTTGCATATTTATATGTATAACTAGTTATTTAATTACCGTTGTTAGCTTTATTTATTTAGTAGAAATATATCTCTCTTTTTCGGCATAATTTTAGAGTGGTTCACTACATCTTTTTCTTCTCATTTTTAGTCATTGAACCAAAAGTACTCCTTCCTCTTCCTCGTTTTCTCCCCTTCTCTTTTTATCTCCCTACTAATGAAGGGCATAGTATATATTCTTTTAACCTCTTTCTTAATATTGTCTTTATCTAGCTAAAAGTAAACTTATTTAGGGATGGAGGAAGTATTAAGGATATGGTTCTTTAATTATTTGAGAATTGAGATTCTGAGCGTTACATATTCTCAGTCGTGGAGAATCAAATGGTAGCGAATTAATTAGTGATGCTTGAGCAAGTGAAGCTTGGCTAAGAAAAAAAAAGATTTGAAGGGAGAGACGTCCCTCCCTAAATATTTTATAGAAAGGAGAAATCAAACCTAAGATGGCAAGCTCACTAAGGCTGGGTTCGTTAACTTGTGTTCCAGACATGAACAGTGCGCACGGAAAACAGAACGGTCAATTAGCATGTGATTAATTAAGTATTTGCTATTTTTTTCAAAAATATATCAATATGATTTTTTAAGCAACTTTCCTATATATTTTTTTTTAAAAAAACATTATTTAGCAAATTAAAAAGCGTGCGCATGAAAAACGAGGAAGAGGGATTGGGAACTGGAACGAACGCAGCCTAACTGTGCTGCTAGCCACTAAGCCCTGGTAGTTTCCTCAGCTTGACCGAGCACAGCTGGATGCCTGGATCAGGCAGGAACGGTGTCAACGGCCATGATTTGAAGAAAAATTCGGCACCGATATTTATTATGAACAGTCTGCTATGCTGCCAATATACCCTTGAGTGGAAAACGCATGCACAAATCATCTTAAGCTAGGAGATATGTTAATGAATGAATCAGCTGCAGCAGAAAGGTAGTATGACAAAAGGAAAGGGTAACACACAGATTTTTCCTGTTCAATACAAAATATTTTTTTCGAACATTTTTTAATCCTTTTCGGCACCTAAATTCAATAATACACAACAGATATAGAGAAGTTTAGCCACAAAATTGCCTGTCGAAATACATAAATATAATAGCACAGATATGCACCAGCTTATTGCTTCACTTGGACATCTCTGGAAACAAAAACATCAGAAACATAATGCAGGCTACTGGACACTGGTCAACCGCAATGTTATCTTCCATTAAAATAATAACATAATAATGATAACAATACACACAAGTGGCTTAGCACGTGACAGTTCAACAGAGTAGATTGCGTTGCACATTCTAACTTCCCAATTTCCGAACAAAGTGTTCTAGCAGGAATTACACCAATCTGCTGGCGTATATATGTGTTAGGATTTATCTAGATGAGTGAGGTTGGATGGTCAGTCATCAAGCCAACCACAGGAGCCTGGATATGGAAGTGGGAACAAGGCCTTCGGCGCAAACGAATTGAAACCATTGGAAAGATCCTGGTCAGTTTGATCAGTTTCAGCTGCCGGCTGTGGAGGCGGCTGGGATGGTTCGGAGGAATGATCAGGCGACATGTCTTCTTCAGGTATATCTAGTACTGCGGGTGCGTCTTCTTGCCCTTTGGGCTTCGAAGGACCACGTGTTAAAAGGTTTTTGCAATCAGGAAAGATAATGTGGTTCCTCGCGGGAGTTCCCAGTTCTGGATCAATCTCATGCTTCCTGTAAAGAGAATAATCCATTTAGTTTTGGGTGGGCAAGAGGAGCAGTTCATATGATTGACAAAAGTAGCATAGTTAACACACATGCAGTAGATCAAAATTTGATCACGAAGTACGTCATCCCACGCCCTTTGCACGATACCATTACTTTCATCATCTTCAAAGACTATGTCACTGCAAAACAAGTGCAAAGCGTGAGCAAAAGAAAAGAAGAACCATGTTTCAACAGTAGAATGTTTGGAAGATGGCAGAGGCATCTCTCCAATGTGAAGTCAAACCTTGGTAAGCACTTCCTGTGGTATACAGTTGGACAGCGTCTGCATACTGCAAATTGATTTTCCATGTCATTCTTGTTCTCTCCTCCCTTGCATACATGGCATTTATGCACCGGACAAAGGAATTTCAGTCCACGGGCAACTTCCTCCTCAAAATTTAAGGGCTGCATACTGCTATCAGGGTAGAGTAGTCTAGCTAGACACTTCGGATGGTAAAAGTGTCCACATTTTTCATCTTCACATTGGAATACCTGCTGAGACATGCAAAAGTTAGCAAATAATTGGACTTGCTCATATGATAGCATACATATATTAGAAGTTGAACAGACATTTGGAGCATATGACAATGAGAAAATGGCATCTTAATCCTAGCAAAATAAAAAGAAGAAAGAAAATGCATATCCTAGACCCTAGTACATTCTTTATTAGCAAAAATTGAGTCTCCTCCTATTTTTCCTTGTTTGTTGTACTAGATACCACATTGTCATTTCAATCAAGTGTAAAGCCTTCATGAAAAATAATCAAATGGCTTTGTTGTCATACCTCAGCCCCTGATGACAAGTCTGAAGAACCCAGCAATCCACACGAGAAACACTGATGCTGATTATACTTACAGTTCTTGCATATATATAGCGGTTCACTCTGAATTACCCAAAAAAACAAGAAAAAAATGTCAATATTAGACATAAAAGAGCGTTCATTCTAAAGAATGGGGCAACTCAAATAAGATATACCTTTTCATCATTTTGCCTAAAGATCTTCCATTGTTCTTCAGTTAGCCCAAGGGTTGTGCACTGGTTTATTTCTGTAATGTGTTTCTCTGTTGCGTGGAAAGACCTCAAACATCTGCCCTCACAGCTAAGAAAGGGCAAGTAATAGTAAGAAGCAATAACATTAACCACTACTGTTTTTCATTGAGAACAAGTTATGCAACAAGCTAAATTGCAACATGTTATGAACTTGATTGTAAGCACACTTACCAAAGAAAATCACCACCATCATCACAAATTGAACAGACATCCTCCCACTGCACAAAATAGTAGATTAATCTGATTATCTTAATTGTTCAAAGCGGAATTGACTAGACCAGCAGAAAATAACCATAAAAAGGTTGAGTTTAATAAATAACAAAAAGAAATTCTATGGATCAGTTTAAGAAGGCATGTGTTATTGTAATTGGTCAGAGGACAAAAAACGAAAACAAAGATTTCATAGTCTCATAGAGAGTAATTACATGGACAATACTTAAACTCGTGACAAACAGCCCTGGCATGACAATCTACAAAAGTAAAAGAAAACAAAAACTATCCCCTATCCTAGAAAACTTCAAGCCATTTTAGAAACAGAAAAAAGTTGATAGCAATTCTCTCAAGGGTCACACTATTTTCTTATTCTTAGGAGTATCTTCCCTTGCTAAGGTGAGCAAAACTACGAAGCGCCATAAAATTGAAAGCTCCTTTGCCTGACTCCTTAAACCTATAATACTTGGAGAGGAAAAAGGAAAAGAAAAACTGAAGGAAGAAACATGGGCACATTAACATATACTTTTGTTTCCATAGAACAAGTAAACGAACCGACACTATTAATTTCTCTTGAACCAAATTTCATCCTCACTGAAGCAATTCGAGGTTTGATTCAGCATCTAGCACCTCTGATTCCAGCAATCCTTTTTTTAAAACTAAACCCCAACCACCAAAGGGGACTAACCCCCCACCCCCAAAATCCAATGAACAAGACGGCGACACCAAGCATGGAGGGGCGCGTTCCAGGTGGTAGGGTATACCTTATCAGACCCTGGCTTGTTGTTGAGCTTGCTGCTTCTACTGTCGCTGCTGCTCCTCTTCCGCTTCCTGAACCGCAGCGGAGGGTACCGGCGGTCGCTCCCCGGCCTCCTCGGCCGGTCCATGGACGGAATCCCGGGCGGGCGGGGGGAGAAGAGGCAGTGGCGGGGGGCGCGATGGGGGTTGGGGTTGGTTGGTCACCTCGCCGTGGTTCTCGCCGGCGGCGAGAGGAGGAGGAGGAGGCGGCGGCGGAATTTGGGGATTTGGGTAGGTTTAACTGTTTAAGGAGGCGGGGAACGCCGTTGCCGTCTCCGTTTCCGGTCCGGATTCGACGGCCGCTTTAAATCTCCCGTTGCCGTCTCCGTCTCCGTGCAAACTGCAAAGCCGTTATTACTGGAGTACTCCTCCGTTCCATATTAAAGTCGATTTGATTTTTTTAAACTATATATTAGGTTTAAATAATTTATATAAATTTTTTTAGCAACATCTACAATACTCATGTATCATTGAACGTATCATTGAATATATTTTTTTTATAAAACATTTGTTTTGTGTTGGAAATTTTACTATATTTTTTCTACAAACTCGATCATTCTTAAAAATGTTTAACTTGGAAAAAGAAAATCAAAATAATTATATAATTATATAACGGAAGACGTACCTGTTAAAAAACAAAAGTCATTTCATGTTTATTTGTGTATCTGAAACCGGATTTTCATTATTCAGTTCTACATATTAAAATAAGTTTATAAAATGAGAGAATCTACTCAGTATCACTAAGTTTTCCCCACTTCTACAATCTACCACTGACTTTGTCAAGTTAAATAATATGCTATTGTGTTTTCTTGAACCTCTAATGTGTGCTATTGCCGTCCACAAGCCGTTAGTTGGACATCTGTTAGAGCTGTAAAAAGACCTATTTGCCCCTAACTCACTGTACATGGTTTTTTTTCCAGGGAGAAATGTATAGTAATCTATCGACATTGTTTGATGGGATAATGCCAAAACTGTTTTGCATAGTATTCAGACAATCAGACACTAGCAGTGCAGAGCTCTCTCAAACCCTTCGCGGCGGCGGTGACATGGTCGCGGCCTGCGATGGCGGCACGGTTGCGGCCTGCGGCGGCGGTGACGCGGATGCGGCTTGCGATGGCGGCGTGGTTCCGGCGACACGGACGCGGCCTGTGATGGCGGCGCGGTTGCGGCCCGCGGCGAGAGCGACGCGGACACGACCTGCGACACCGGCGGTGGCGCGGATGCAGCTGCCTGCGGCGGCGACAGCAACGCGGACGCGAATGTGACCCGTGGCGGCGGCGTTGCGGCCCGCGTCGATGGGGAGCCGGGTGCTCGGCCGCGCGTCGGGGGCTGGGGCGGCTGGCGGCGCGTCGGGGAGTTGGGCGTCCGGCCTTCCATCGATGGGAGTCAGCGCCGCCTCACACTGCCAGATTGATTTGGAGGTTCACGGCTAGGGTTTTCAGTCCTAGGGTATGTTAGTCTAAGGGTATTTTAGGCATTAAGAAAAAATTCAATTTATCAAACGGGTGCCAACTAACGGCTCATGGATGGTGATGGCACGCAATAGAGATTCAAGAAAACACAATGGCATATTATTCAACTTAACAAAGTCAGTGGTAGATTGTAAAAGTGGGGAAAACTTAGTGGTACTGAGTGGATTCACTCTTCTAAAATCTAGCAAGTCAAATGATATCAAGGCTGTGTTCAGGATTTTGGAGGCATCGGAACGAAATACAAATTGAGATTCTAAAAATATTGAGAAATTTATATGTCTAATACAAATATGGCATACTTTTGGTCAAAAGTATTATAGTTGTCTCTTCTTATGCTTTTTAGCACCTGAATCATACTTCATATTTCTATAAGACATCTCGAGGACTGGGAAAATAAATGTCTTCATGTTTTATAAGGCATTGATAATACTTTTCCGCGTGTACATTTCCAAATATGCTAAACGATGCGTCTTTTACAAAATAATTTTATACGAAAGTTGCTTTAAAAAATCATAGTAGTACTTTTTCAGAAAAAAATAGCTAACACATAATTTATCATGCGCTAATGAGTTGCTCTTTTTTATGTGCATGTGTGATTAGCTTCAATCTTAAGCTGCTGAACACATCCTTATAGTAATGGGAAAAATAGATTATTTTGACCAATTGTATTAATTTACAAATAAAGTCAATATTTTATATGCACATGATAAATTAATCACAAATCAATTTATTAAACTCTTAAGTGCTAAAACTGCAAATTATTACTCATATCATTGGCTAATTTTTTCAAGTACTATATGCTACACGTTACACAAGAAAATAAAAATAAAAATATTATGAAGAGGTTGTATTAAATATTTGATTTTTATCCACGCATTGACAGTGCGCCAACCGGCGCGCCAATTTCTAATTTTAATCTAATTAATAAACAGTGGAGCTTGGGACACCATAGGCCATGCGTTCGTTTGGAATTCTGAGATGAGCCGAAACAGCAGCACACAGTTGTGTTAAGTACCAAATTAACACCGTCAATAATTGCATAAAACCATAAATGTAAAACGTCCAATATAGGGGTAGGATTTATTTTTAACAATTTTCACAAGTGTTGGTGTATATTTGCATGTAGAAGACAAACCACCAAAGTTGAGATGAAATATATATATGAAGGATGAGAATATAACTTCCATATCTAAGCCCATGGAGTTTTGAGCCCACAAACCCAATAAGATACAATCATTTGAGTCAAACTTCAGAGGAACACATAGTGGGGCTGGGCTGGATGGGCCAGCCAGCAGCTAGCCCAAACAGCCCAAAATTTCACCAGCTGACAGTTATCCTCATCCTATGACGGTTGTGACCATTTCTACCGGTGGAAATCGTCATCAACTGGACATTTGGCAAGAGGAGAATGAATATGCTCTAAGGATGCTTTAGCATGTCCAAATTCCCAGTGCACCTCCAGGCCTATAAATACTCCTCTTCTGCCTCATTTACAACACACACCAAAGCATGAGTTAAATTACAAGAGGCTCTATTGTAGAAGAAATCAGAGGATTTCTGAAGTTGTTAGTAATTATTTACTAGCACGTGATTAATTAAATATTAATTTATAAATTTTACAAAAAATAGATTATATGTAGTATGACTGTCTCTAAAAAGAACTTCTACATATTTTTTTCCACAAAACATACCCTTTAACAGTTAAAAAATCGTGAGTAGCTAAGGACAGTCCTTATTATAGCAACGAACGAAGCTACATTTTCATTTATTACACTAGCCTATATTCATTTACATATCCATAATTTAGGACCTTAGAAATCGTCATACGCAGAAGACAACTCCATCAATGACAGTACCTAATATTAGTCAATTCCTAGTTCACTTGTACAACTAAACAACACCCCAACTAGGATGTATAATGTCCTTTGCAACTAATGGTTAAACAACAATATAACCTAAGTGCTAACTATAACATTCAAGTATTCAAATCCATCATTACTGGTAAATAAATACATGCTAACCATGTATTAGTTTAAGGAACTAGTAAAGTCTAATTTTATCTTCTCTTCTTGTAGCATGCATCTTCTTCACACTAGTCAAATCCAATTTAACTAACACTTTCTCAAGAAAACAAATTAATCTCTACTACTTTAAAAATTCGTAGTGGTGATGGTGAAGCCAACGTAGACGTGCGATCCAACATAAAAACGTACATTGACACGGTCAAGAACGAGTAAGCGACACACTTCCACACCACCCACGTGCGATTCCTACGGGTCACGATCCATGCGCGATTCCTACGGATCACGATCCGCAATCAACGAGAAAAAAACCACCCATCGCCGCCACCCCCTCCCACCCCGCCTCCGCTCGCAATCCGCCGCGACACCAGCCGCACCTCCTCCTAGATCGCCCTCCCCACCCACCACCGTCGCTGCGTCCTCCTCCTCCCCATCACCTGTCGCACCGTCCTTTGCCTTGCCGATCTCCTCTCTCCGCGTTGCCATCGATCCCACGGTGGCTACCGTCGCCGAGTTCCCTTCGCCGGTGACGCCATCGTCAGATCCTTCTCCACCGCTCCCAATGACGCACGGTGGCTACCGTCGCCGAGTTCCCTTCGCCGGTGACGCCATCGTCGTCAGATCCTTCTCCACCGCTCCCAATGCCGGTCGCGTCGTACTGTCCACCACCGCCGCATCATCGTTCTCCCCATCACCCGCTACCGACGCCTACTCCGCCCACCCGCTACTGACACCGAATCCTCCGCCCACCCCCCGCCGACGCCTACTCCTACGCTGGTGCCTCTTTCCCACCTCCTCCTTTCATTAGCTCTCCCGATCTGCTTCTATGGTGATGGTGCATTAGGATGAGATCAACAAGGTATCCATCTGACACACACTTTACTCATTTGGGCTGTTAAGTGTTGTTAAGCGATTTTGATTGGTTCACCGTCGTGCTATAGTTTTAATTAGTTTAGATAAAAAAAAGGCATCCATCTGACTTGCAGTTTACTCATTTGGACTTGCATCGAAATAGAGAATAACTACATACATCTAAATAAACAGTTCCCTGAAAGCTTACAAATAAAGTTGAAAGACAAAGTTTGCTTACGACATACGGCTTGCATATGTGTGGCATTCAAAAAATTTGTAATGGTAAACTTACCCTCTACTAAATTCGCTAATTCAGTGCATAGTTATGAAACAAATAACTTGTGATCCAACCAATTGTTGTCTTATCTTTTTTGGTTCAGCAAACGAATTTTCATCCAGCAAATTGCGATATGTGAGAACAGTCACTTTGATTTTGCCGTATTGACGCCAGCTTAAAGTTCTCCTTGAGGTTCACAGCACTTGGCCCTTGTTGCTTCAGTTTTTTTTCTTGACCCTTGCACCATTATTCACAATGATCTCTTTTTTGCTCTGCTTCTCATGTAAGAGAGATTTTTTTAGTGAGATTTCTTATTGTTTGGCCAATCAATATTGTTGATCAGCAGAACAGCAACGAAGTTATATTTCAGACCTAATGGAACTTTTGCAGGTGTGCACTAAGCGCCCGCAACTCGCTAGGTGACGACCACCCCAACGCAGCTGCTGGAATTCAGGTTGTAATGGACGTCCGCAATTAAGGTGGGGCTAAAGTGAACTATATACCAACTCAGTATTTTCCAATGAAACCCAAATTCACATATCATTAAAGGAAAACACATTGTCTTCTCCATTTTAATATGCAGCTATATTAACACATGTCTATAAAAGTCTATGAATAAATTGGTATGGTCATTCAGACTGCATTACATATTTGTAACAT